TGTTTCCTGTCCCGTCTCCGTCGTCGCTGTCTGTGAGAGCCGACAACAATCCATGGAGACCCCGGTGTCCTCGATATTTCAGGCGGTATGTTGTTGGCTTGTTGAAAATAGTCCGTGACGGGAATGCTATTTTGAAAACCGATGCTGATCAGGTTTGCACGACTGTATACGCATTGTGCTTGGCAGAGTTCGGCATACAATTGCTGCGAAATACAAACTAAACACATTAAAAAACACCGAACTAGAGGGCACCAAGCTGCAGCACTCACGCGCGCCGCCATCTTGCCTACGTCAAGAACGATCAGCATGAAATTGTTACATCCAACTAGAATAGGGTGACCAGATAATCCATGTCAGGAAGGACACTGAGCTACTTCGGGTTTTACAAACTACTTTCAAATTGAAAGGCTCCTGTGCTCGGCTAAATAGTTCAGCTCTTCTTGTGCTTTGACTGGTTTGTCTCCTTGACTGAAAGACTCATCCAGCTGTTTCACATTAGCATTAGTGACACATGCATGATTATAGGAGACTGACCAATCAGCACACAGCAAGAACTCAGTGCTCAAGTGAAATCCAGGTCGTTTTAATTGAAATGGTAATTTACAATTCCTGTCCTAGCTCCAAGTGTCCTCCCTGACATGGATGATCTGGTCACCCTAACTTAGGATCATCATGTGATGGCCTACTTTATGTTGTCATCGACATTTTCCTATCAGCCCTGTAGTGCAAGACCAACTAGGCTCGAATAACACATTTATAAAAAGAAGAGCAAACTCAATCACAGATCACAAACATGTCGGATGCAGCACTACAACGATCAATCAACATGACCCATGAAATCTCCTACAATGAGTATGTCGGATAGGTCATTTGTCACAGGCAAGCTGTTGTGCTGGACCCTTGTTTTGGATGATTATCACTGCGCTACACAACCATTCAAAAAACATGAGAGGTCAGAAAAGCACATGGATTCAGATGAGAAGTTACAGCAAAATGTATTGACTGAACAGCCAGAAGTTAATTACGGTACCGACAACTCCTTTACCCCAAGCTAACTGCGATGAAATCATTTTCTTTAAAATAACACTTTCAATAAACGGTAATAAATGTGTATGGCCAACCTCCATCGACAATAGCTTCTAATGCCAATAAATAACATCAGCCCTGTTAGAAGAATTACCTGTGATCTGTAGGAGTCAGCAAAAGCTAACTTTAAGCAAGCACTGCTCAAGAAATTATTACTGTTAACCTTCAGAAGCCAATGAGCTTTGTATCCATACATCACCTTTATCCCTTTATTGGATAATTCGTAGCAGAGCTGTACATTTCCAGTCAGCAGAACGTGTCACCAGGGGCTGTTTATACGTACAGCTGCAACCTTGAATGAGGTTGATAAATGAATGGTCCATAAAAGTTATTCGTATATACAATCGTGAAACTCACAGAAGAAAATGTTTAAATCCTGGGAACTACTGGCTGTGCCTAAACTTTATATACTTTTTGTTGCACCTAATATTTTGCATCATTTATTTATCTACTTATTTAAATTTGTTGTGAATAGTATATTGCCAAATCAAAATGAATGTACAGATCTGTGTATGATTTTTCCGTGACATTGTTTGCTGTTATTCATTATTGTTGTTGTTACACAGACAAGCACCAGAAGGTACTGCCTCAACAAAACTCCCACAGATTAAATGAAAATGAAAAAAGCCCTTTATCTACACACTATAAATATACTTTCAGTAAATAATCCCTGGTCTGAACACCAATAAATTTCCTTTGATGGAAATATTTCTGCAGGTTGGAGAATGTTGTGTCATCTCTTGAAAGCAGTGCATTATCTCAGGGCCTGTGTTATTATTTTTGAGTATGATGTTCCGTTATCAGGGTAAATAATGTACCCTGGATATACAGATAGGGCAAGTTTTTTTCTAACATATATTTCATGAATTTACTGTATAACATTTCACAAAATCTTCGAAAGCAAAGCCTGTACACTCTGGATAAGGTGAATCTATCACATGGATGACAAATAGAAATGCAACAAATGGGACACACGTTAACACAATAAGGGAAACTCCACCTAAATACTCCACCTAAAATGAAGTATATCGAATGCGAAAGAGCGTGTTGTCATGGCAACAAAGCCTCACTGGGAAACTATGGAAACACAGAGATTCTGCCATTACTCATTTTCAACCTTGTCTCACTCAGACACACCTGAGCCTCATGTACAAAGAGAAGCATGAACCCACTGATGTCCTGCCCTGGAGTTTAGGGATGGGGGGGGGTTAACTTTGTTTCATTCATCCACTCAGTAATAAATTAAATTCAATCTTCTGTTTAAGTTCTGTCCCCATGACCCAATCTCAAACTCTCCCGTGCCATTAGTTCCGCCCCAAAATCTCTAATATAGCTCAAATATATGCGCAGAGTGTAGTCCAGGGGTCTCCAATTCCGGTCCTGGAGAGCTACCGTCCAGTAGGTTTTCTATCATACCCGGCTTCTGATGAGCCACACCTGTTCTCAGGTAAATACCAGGAGCAGGTGTGGCTCATCAGAAGCCAAGTGGGATAGAAAACCTACTGGATAGTAGTTCTCCAGGACCGGAGTTGGAGACCCCTGGTGTAGTCAGTTCTTTGTTTTGTAGTTCACTGCAAGGAAGGCTCGTTAGGGATGTTAATGTTTAATGTTTGCTTTAATCAGCCATGTAAGACACCTAAAATCTCATCCACCTAACAAATCTATTTTCCTGTGAATTCATATTCATCTGTGATACTTAACTATTCATTAGCAAGTATATCGTATCTAGAATTACATGAGTATTTATGAAACATAAAACAGTGAGGCATACCCAAAATACACTGCAGCATTACATCTTGCTGTTTTATTTGTAATGGGTTTTTATCATTTTGTTATAAAGCAATCCACCTATGATTCATAAAACTGAGCATAAAAATTGTCTTTGTGCAAGTCGCATGGCATGCAGGTAGCGGGGAAGAGAATCCTGGATAGAGAATAAAATTTAATTCAGTGGATTCTAAAAGATCCATCCGTATTACAATTGCTACCTGTTAATATCCATAAAGAGCCCCACATACAGTGGGAGCAACATCCACTCACTGCATGGATGAGGCCACTGGAGTCTTCATAGGCTTTAGATGAGAAGTTCCTAAGATATGCTACAGAACTTCAATATCATTGTCACTATTGATTACATCAATAATTGAGTAACTTACAAATTAATCTGATGATTCATTGAGTAATCGTTTATTATATTTATATTATATTATATCATATTATATATTATATGTATTGCAATTGGTTTACACTCAGTTTTACATGCTGGAAATTTAGGCACTCCAATTTACTTTTATGTTTTTGGACAGTGGAAGGGAACTGAAGAATCCGCCAAAAAGCCACTCACACACAGGGTGAACATGCAAACTTCACACGCAAAAAATGGCACTGTGTGGCGACAGCAATACCTATTGCACCACTGTGGCACCAGGCTTGCACGATGTGCACTATTAATATCGACAAGGCATTCTACATCCATGCGATCATCACATTGCAAGGACCACAAGAGTCTGCTGGGTTCAAACCAACAATAGGTTGCGCTAAAATATTTTTACCCAGTCAGAGGAAACAAAGCTTAGTAAGTTTTGCCATTTTAATTATGGTTCCTTTTCAACATTACCTAGTATATATGCTAAAGAAGAGAAGAAAAAAAAAGTCTAAAGTTTACTGCCACTGCTTTTGCATGACCACTGCATGCGCTCTCCGAGACATAATCATTCTCATCCAGAATTAGAATTTGATGATCAGTGGTCATTGTTGACAAACCACAGCACACAACATTTAACCCATATGCGACACTGTGACATAGCAGGGGGCAGCTAATTCAGTGCCCGGGGAGCAGTGCTTGGGGGCGATACCTTGCTCAGGGTACCTCAGTGGTGCCTTGTTGGGATTCGAACCAGCAATCTTTCAATTACAAGTGCACTTCCCTAACCATTAAGATACCACTGCCCACAAAAACAAAGAGTCATGGGAGAGCACGAATGCAGTCCCGCACTACCACAAATTACGCAGTGGAGATTCCCACACTTGGGGAATTGGCAGGGGTCAGCACAGCAGCAGTGCAATGGCTGGGCCTCACCCTGGGTGAACCACCTTCCTGATCATGGTATCTCCCCTGCCAGGAAAGTATCCATGTTGTAGGACTCACCCACAGATCGTTTGGTGCGTTTGTAAGAAATTAAATAAAAATAAGTGAAAGGGAGAAAAGTGAACGAAAACTGGTCACAAAAAGACATTCGTCTTCCGCTGTATGGAAATATTTTGTATTGCATACAGACGACACTGAGCAGAAGCAAGTTTTGTCAGCACTGCTTTGTGTCTGCTCGCCCAACCCATGGCACCACCAACTTATTTCACAGACTCTGTTAACAGATAAGTAACATTTAGCTATATTGTTAATTTTCAACACCTAAATATTGCGAAAACTTGTATGGTATTGCAATGTGAACTTATCGTTCAGCCCTAAAACACAATACGCTCACAAAACATAACTGTAATTGGTTATATGTAACATATTATGTAAAACAATGCAGCTAAGGGATGGCCTGACTTTCGTTTAAGCAGTTTTAATGGGAAGAAAAACAATTAAGCTAATATGTGTACATATAGTGCAGATAGGACAGACATTAGTGAGAGAGACACCTTAGTCATACTGATTTCTGAGAGGCGGATGAGAGATAACCAAGGGTGCAGATCCAAAACTTACACAGTCAGACCGTTTAGCTGCATGGTTCCAACTATGTATGTCACTAACATTGTTAGCAACTATACTTTAGCAAAACATACACAGGATGGGTGGGGGTACTGGGGGAAGGGGTGCTGGGTAGGGTCAGCCTATATTATGCTAACCCCCAACCGCACTCGGCGAGTTTTATTGGGAAACAACAGAGATGATACTGCTTTTTAAAAATACTATATATCAAGAGAATATCACACACATATATACATAAATATATATAAATCATACACACAAGGTAAAAATACCGTATAAGATATACACTCACCAAAAGGATTATTAGGAACACCATACTTATACAGTGTTTGACCCCCTTTCGCCTTCAGAACTGCCTTAATTCTACGTGGCACTGATTCAACAAGGTGCTGAAAGCATCCTTTAGAAAT